TAGAAATACATCGCCTTCTATTTCTTCACAGTTGAAATCTTCCTGCATTCTAGATACAAATTATAGAAACAAACTTCCAGTTCATTACGAGATAAATCTTCAGTTCAGAAATCTTTATAAGAAGTCCATCTTTCAGTCAAACCAGATATAAAAAACCCAACAATTTCTCTTGAGATAAGCAATGAATTCTTCTTCACAAAGATCCAAGATCTCCACATCCATATGAATGCTTTGACATTGATAGATCTTTTACTCCAGTTCCAACATTCTTTTTAGCATCACAGACATACTAAAGTCAGTACAAATGTCTCTGACATTTAGTCTAGACATCGTGCTCAATCTCCTTAACTTCTGATTAGATCACTTTCCAAGGAACATAATAGCAAAAAGAAACCTTTTATTAGAAACCAGAACCTAAGCTCATTCAGATTTGAAAGAAAAAATAAATTGCTCTTGTCTTTCTTCAATAGCTTGTCACTTTCGTGTCAAATATCTAGAGTAGAGACTTGAGAAACTTCTTCTTGATCAACCTCACATATAATTTTTTTCTTCCAAACACAATTAGATGTGCCTTTATGAGTGGACTTGAGAAATTCCCAAGTATCGTTGGCCCCAATTCAAGTGGTGTGCAGTTTGGAATAAAACACTTAACAATTCCATGATAATGGCATTGACAACTTCAAATACTCAGAGACCTAACCCATGATCTTTTCTTCTGTCTTCGAAGCACCAGGATTCTTCTAACCTGATAAACTTCACAGTTCTATTGTCCATTGATAACTAGAATGGTATCACTCCAGCTTTCGGTAAGACTGATAGTACTAGAAATATACCTCCCTGAAGCTCACCTAGTAGACCAGGGCACCTGCTCTAATACCAATTAAAATTCGGGTACATGCTAGACATACAAACAAAATTGTCTTAACAGTGGATGATGTCAAGATAGATGTTACAACATCTGGTAACAAATCAGATCAATTAAGTTGAATATGATATAGAAAATAAAACTTCATAATGATAAATAACACAATAAGTTGTTAACCTGGTTTGGTGCAACATCACCTACTCTGGGGGCTGCCAAGCCAGGAAGGAAGTCCACTATCAGCAATATTAGTTTGAAGTTAAACTCCCCCATTTACAACTTCCCACCTAATTCCCTTTTATAATTAAAACTAATTAAAAATTATGGTTTTGTAAATAATTAATTAATTTTCCTTCAAAAGATAACTTAAAATTTTTCTTCTCTCAAATTAGATTTTTTTAGTTTTTTTAATCGTCGCGCGTATTTTTAAATTACCTTTTGATTATTATTTATGTATCTGTTTCGAGGTTGTAATAGATTTCGATTAGGTTTTTGATTTTCGCATTTTATTTTCAATTAAATAATTCTGTATCTGCGAAAGCCATGTAATAGTTAGGATTTCTATTTCCGCAAGTATTAAATGTTAGATGTATGTTAATAGGATTGTATGGCAAGAATATTTGAAAATTAAAACGGTAGATAACCTAAATGTGCAAAGACAAATTAATTGAAAAAATCTCACTCGCACATGCTCACTCCTAGGGTTTACTCCACTTCGGTTTCCTTCGGTTAAGCGGTCATGAAGTATAGGGTTTGTTAGTGGTCGTCCTCTAGCCCCGAAAGATCTTAAATGACCCCTTTGGATGTTGACTGGGAAACATATCTTTAAGACTTTAGGATGATTACTAACACCTCCTAACATTGCTTTTGTGACCATATTTGTCCCTTCGAACGTTCCTTAAAACTCCAACGACTGTGCTACCTATTCCTTAATAATGGGATAGCGCTGTCTAAAGGAAAATGAACAGTCTTTTTTGAGTAGGTAGATTAACTTTTAAGTACTTGCTCAAACAAACAAAACTTTTCACACCAACATTTTCCCAAACAAAGTTTTCAAAAACAACTATGTAACACTCTTGAGTACAGAAACAAGGGTTAAAACGAAGTAAAACAAAACTTTTCAAAACAAACACACACAAGCAATTTAAAAATGAACAAGTATCTAAGAGCCCATGGAAAACCATGGATAGAAAGGGTGCTAACACATTTCCTTTCTATAACCTACCCCCCGTACTCAGAAATATTCTCGAAAAAGGTTTTTTCTGTTCTTTTTCCTTTTCCTTAGTTGGATGAAATAAAAGTCGGTGGCGACTTTTGCTTACCGCGACATTTTACGAACAAAAAACGCAAAACGCAAACCAATATAACAGTCAGTTCTGTCACCGTATCACACTATGGAACAAATATCGTATACTTAAAGAATTCAAGATTTATATAACTTAAGTATATCTCCCATCACTTTTAAATTCATTAATATTTTATATAAATTTAAATCTTTCAAGTCCTTTAATTCAATCTACATTTAAGTTATACCTTTCTTTATTTATGCTTAACTATCATTTAATCTCATGTATGTTTTTTTACACAAATCTCATGTATGTTTATTTTCTATATTTTTGCTTCTAGCCATTTAAATTCACACTTTAATTTATATAAGTTCAAATTACTAAGTGCTTTTCTACTTTAAATGTCCATTTAAATTCAATTCATTTACTTCTAATCAAGTAGTTTTCCTTTTAACTAATTTTAATCTTAAAACTTAGACTAGTTCTCGGGGTAGTTTCAAAATCGCCTCTCATAAGTGTAAGATTACCATGTAAATTGCAATCTTCAAATAATTCAAGAAACAAAAATAACATCTAATATGAAAAGTGTTGGGAGATCCAATAGAATAACAAGTATGCTTGTTGTAAGTAATTACAACATTCAAATAGTGACATATCTATTAAATATACCGTTAGACAATACATAATGTTACCGTTATAATTTTAGTTAGGTTATCTAATGTTAGTATATATATTTCATTAGGATAAATGTGTGTAATTCAATTCATTCATTCTACATATTTCATTGGGGCAAACCAGGCACGAAAGCACAGACAATTAACGAAAGCATGAACTAGCCACAAAGACACATTCAATCACAAATGAACAACTAACCACAAAGGCATGAACTAGCCACAAACACATGAATGAACCAACCACAAAGGCACAAACCAATGCATACTATATTATGCATGTTCCAAATTTTTTAATAATCCTTTCAACTTTAAAACCAACTAACAATATTATTTTCTAAAATTAATTTTCAAAACAAATGTATGATGCACAAAAAGGACTACATGTCGGTGATTATTTTCAAAAACAATTTTCAATAACGAATATCACTTCCAACAATCATTATTTTAATGATTAATAATAAAAACACGTAAATAACTCATACACATCATATAATATTTCAATGATAACAAAAACATTAAAAAAAAACATATCTTTTTATAATAGGGCTTAGGTTGAAATTTGATTTATTAAAGATGGTTTACTTTTTATCGTTAAGGAATGTATTATCATTCTATAACATGTACCATAACCATAGAATGAGTGTATGGGGAAAAATACCTTATCTTAGGTGTTTAATTCCTTGGAATTTTGATTCCATAATTTTTAAGAGAGACACCATCTGAAACTTTTAAAAACATTAACTTTTCTTTTATTAAAGATTAAAAAGATGTCACTATTAAAAAAAAATAAGTTTCATAACGCTATCAAATTTTATTTCATTACGGTTAAAGAATTTATGGTGCTAGAAGCTATTCAATTAGGCACTTTCTTTTTATTTTTATTTTTAAGTCCATTTTTCACCACGCATGATGAAAAGTGGTACATGGTCATGAGTTTGAATCTTGTTATTGTCATTGTTCTACTACTATATTTTTTAATATTTTATTAGAATACATACAATAACACTTGTTTAATACAATCGTTATTATATATAGCACATGTTCATGAGTTTGAATCTTGTTGTTGTTATACTAATACATTTTCTATATTTTTATTAAAATACATATAACAACGGTTGTTTAATATAATTGTTGTTGTATATAGTGTATTTATTGAGTTTGTTCACCATTCTTAAACAAGTCTTGACCATCTATTTAGTGATTATCAATGCTCAAGACACTATCATTAGTGATCCGTGTGAAACCTAAAACTTAGACGAACTTTCAGCTTAGACAAATTTCATCTTTTACCTCCAAACGCCATCTTTCATTTATGAAACACTATTTCTCAACTAAAATAATCTTGAAAATATCATTCTTCCATAAACAAAACTCGAAAATATCATATCTTTTATTAACAATTATCAGAACTCCATCATTTCTTCTCCAACTTGAATGAGACACATAATGTATGAGTTCAAGTTAGCAATGTTAGTTGATGTTGTTCTTGCTGTTATTTGTTTGTTATTATTGTTGTTGTTGTTTTTGTTCTTGTTGTTATTATTGTTGTTCTTGTTGTTGTTGTTGTTGTTGTTGTTCTTTTTGTTCTCGTTGTTATTGTTGTTGTTGTTATTTTTATTGTTGTTCTTCTTGTTTTTTATTGTTCTTGTTGTTGTTGTTCTACTGCTGCATTTTATTTTATTTTATTAAAAGACATACAACAACGGTTGTTTAATATAACCATGGTTGTATGTAGCAAGCACATTATCCAGTTCAGGTTTCCCATGCATTCAAAGCATTTCAAGTTGGTTCTTTGTCTCATAAGGGGATTCAGAATTACAAGGGTTTTGAAGTAAATCACATCTTCTCCTATTCACGGTCTCTCGAGCATGGATTTTTATTAAGAAAATATTTTATCTAGCTTCTAACATCAAGCGAATATTTGGTTACTTGTTGATTCAATTTTTGACTTCAAGTGGTGAAGTTATGATGCAAAGTCTAGTAAAGATCTTTGAACTTTTTAAGAGTACATTTTGGGCTTTTTAGAGTTTGAATTTTAAAGAGGCTATTGGAGAGAAGGTTTGTCCTTTGGCTACATAGAATATTTTGCACTTTTCTTGCCAAAATTAGAAGTGAAGAGAGATTACAAAGCTTGTTATTTTGAACCAAGGAATTCTATTGTATTATGGACAAGATTGATTTAATTGTTACAATTTGCAAATACTTTATCGAAAGAGATTTCAAAATTTTCTCAAGTTTCATTAATCAAAGAACATTTCATGTTACAATTCAAGTCATTCCTCATCATTAAAAGTTGTTCTAAACTTGAATACAATTATTTCAAATCTACAAGTTTCACAAAGTTTTCTACAAGAGGTTCAAATGCCACATTCATCCAATTTTACATGTTTCCATACAAGGCTTACAAAGAAAATTTTAATGTTTCAAAGTTTGTTTACAAAACTCTTTTCAACACAATCAAATTCAAAGTTACATCATGGTTGCCATTAAAAGATTAAAGTAATTACAATAATTCAAGATTTTCCTAAATCTAAATATTTCCAAGCTCTTGCGCTTGATTCTTCCAAGACTTCTTCTTCTTCAAGCTTCTCTCCATGCTCGATTTTATGCCAAGTCATGCTACGATTTCTCCTTGCCATCCTCACCATTATTGCCGTTCATGAAACAAAGAAAAGGAAATTGCTAGCAAACAATTAAAGCAATCAAGAACATTGAACATAAACAAGAATTTTCAAAAGAGTTTTGCACAAAGTTCATCATTAGGGTCTGTGTAGGTATCAGAAAAATAGGGTTGGTTTTCAATCATGTTCACAACAACAACAACCTCATATTTGTTTGTTTCAAGTCAAAATTTCAGCACATATCAAAGGACTGGTTGTACGACGCAAGTTTCTCAAGATGGTAGATGCTTTTATCCTTTTGCAGACTATTTTCCGAGCTAGGAAGAAAGTAAGGCAGGAGCTGGTTTGCATGATATTCACTGCTGGTCCAATATGTGATTTCTCATGTGAAACATTGAAGCAATCAGAAGTATATGAGGTATGCCATGCTTTTCTATCATAGACATTCTTTTTTGAGGTTGAAAACGTCAGCATAACTTATCCAGCAATCAGTGAGGAGTTGGCTCTATTGGAGGTCTGAAAAAGGATGTAGTATAAGTCCTGACCTCATGATTTCAGACACAGTGACTGCTGCCACTACTATTCAGAAATTAGTTTGTGGTTGGATGGCGTGATCTAGATATATGTGAACTAGATCAAAAAGAAAAAGCTTTAAATTTTTCTGAACAGAAAATTATCTCTGATCTTAAAATAAAGGCAGCTGTTACCATTCAGCTTGCTTGGAATAACTACATAAGCTGCAAATCACAAACAATTTGGTTCACAACACAAAATACAAGCATTCCAGTTTAATTTGATGGCAAGTACAGGCCCACAATTTACATTCAATCAAACAAGTCGAATAAACATTGTCTCAGCCCATTTTTAATACAACAAAAAGCAGTAGAATATCACAGCTCAACGAAATCAAGGACAAAAACAAGTTACTGCAGTAACATTCATTCAGGACTAACAATAAAAACATATATCAAGAAGCCCAATATGGGAGCATTCATAAAGGCCTGTTATCACAAATCAAGTCCCAACTAAATTCAATTCCAGCTCATCAAAACTTCATAACTAACTTCATTTAGAAGGAATCCTAGCCGTCCAAGCTTCTAATCGATTTTCAGATCTAACAGCTCAGATGCATTCTAATCCTAACAAACTCTAACAGAAAGATAAAAAGGGAAGGCTAACCAGTTAAGATTCATTCTTCAACTCCCTGGAGAATCACAAAAAAGACTCTATCTTCTCCTCTCAGCTTCATTCTTGACTCTTGAGAAGAATCACAAAAAAAGATCTGAAGGAAGCTCTATCCCTCTTCATTCTTCAATTTTTTTTCCTGAGGAAGGAGCACCATAAAAAAAACCAGAAAAGTGATCTTCATCTTCCTTCACCTTTCTGAAATCTTCATCTTCATCGCACTTCGCTATACTTCCATAAACCTTCGCATATTCATCATCAATTTCTCACTTCTCTGCATCAACAATATTCTGCAAGATGCACATCATCATCGTCGTAGCATCAACCGAAGTGAATCTGTTACGCTATAACAACAACATTCCGTTTCAAAATCGCGTCAAAACGCAACAACAACAACAAATTTGAAACGGAGAAATGTAAAAGAAGAAAATAAAGGTAGAATCTTACTTGAATCAGAGATGCGTCGAACGTTTGCCGATCAGTTCTTCTCTTCTTTTTTTGTTCGGTTTTCTTGAGAAGACGAAGAACTCATGAGTTACGACATCACGACAGCGGGAAGCTGAGTCGAAGAAGAAAATGGATCAGAAGAGATTATGAGAGCAAAGCGGAGGTGCTGGAATGGAGTGGAACGGCATAGTCTCTTCGGGAGTCCAGAGGAGAAAGTTTGGCCGCCGCGTGAGGGAGGAAGGAAGAAGAACTCATTCACGTGGAAGTTGTACCGTCAATCTCTAAACCCTATCCTTTTGTCCAATACGTTGCCGTTTTGTAAATATACAATTTTATGTCATTTATTTGTTAATCATAATAGTAATTCATCAATTAATGGCTGAATAAATGTGATTAACTGCCGATGGTTAATGTCGTTGGACTAAGGGATTAGACCGAGTGGACCTCTCTCTTAGGCCAATTTCTTTCTTTTATTTTTAGAGCTTGATATTGCCATACAAAAACAGCTGAATGGATCATGGTATTGATGGGCCTAACACCTCACGCTGCTTGCACCCCATGCCGGCCTGTTACACTATTTTTTTTGGCAGCTTGGATGTTTATGCACAAAAAGCCGCTTATGGACTCTAGATTGGGCTTAGCGCCAGACTACTTCAGCACACCTCCTGGACTATCGGCCTGCACCCTGAGTTTATTCTTTCAATATTTTTTTTATAAATAATTTTGATAATTGTTTGGTTTTGTTTGAACTTTTGTTTCATGATAAAAAATGTTAGATCTTTTTATTTGTTTTTATTTTTAAGAATTAAATCTCGATTATTCAATTATTTGAGATTTGTAATTCACATTTGCTTGTTGAGATTCGAGTCTTATGCAAGTTTATTATGCAATATGCGGATGCGCTTGAGATTTCGACTGTGATTTATTTTCACATCGATGATGCTTCGACGTTTATTCCGAGCATTTGATTCCTGACTCTTTTCTTTAATTGGTGAAGCTTTCGCGAAGATCATCAGGTTTCTTTGTTTTGATACGCTTCGCTAAAGATTGATATTTGTTTGGTATTTTCTCTTGTTTATCTCATTTCTCTGCTTTACTGTTTTTTAGATATCATGAGAAGTAGAAACTTTACTGCTTTCTAGATATCATGAGAAGTAGGAAATAAAGAGTGTGCGCTCGAAGTCGTTGTTTAAAGTCCTGTAGCAGGCACCGCTTTCTGTATGCTAATTGTGGTTGTTTAAAATCCTACCTTTGAAGTAGGTATTTCGCATGTGTGTTTACAATTGTGCCCGCATTATATTACAGATGATAAGTCCTCAAAAGGAGGCAAGCGGGGAGGGTCCATAATCGACCCCAACATATTCTAGTCAGTGTCATCCTTAGCTTACGTTGTACGTCGATGCTTCGGAGTCGTGTAGATCTTGTGTATCGAGTACATCAAGTAGGGGAGGGTTTTGCAATCAAACCCCCATGCTTTGTCAGGATTTTGCATTGGTCGATGATGACACTCCGTGATCGTTCATATTGTCTTCAGTCGCCTACCTCGATCTGTTATATCTTGCTTAGGTGTTCAGTCGCTTTGGACGTCAAATTTTTCTTCTTATATCCCCTACCCACTTGTTTGCCTCGATTGATATAACCCCTTGGCTAAAGCATCCATACTATATTTTGTACCTACCTCGATCAATTCTATCTTGTTTAGGCATTTACCGAAGTTAGTGTGTGCTACTCGTGACATGTGTATGCTCTTTTGAGCTTGGTTGTTTTTTATCCTTATACATACCATGTTCCCTTAGGATAGGAATTTGTATGCTCCCTTAGGATCGCTCGATTAGAGTAGCTCTCGAGCTAAGACATTAGGATAAGTATCCACGCATGCTAACATATGGTAGAGATTTCCCTTTCAAAACTCAACCGTAGGGCCACCATTGTATGATTACACTAGGGCTAGAGATTAGGATATTCTCCCTTATTTGTTTTCTTTTCTTTGCATATTGCATCTTAAAACAAAAACTTTCTTTTTCTTGGAAAATCATAAAACATCACCAATGAACTTAAATCATTCTTCAAGGTAAAAAAATACAAACCAATCTTAATTATTTGTGCGCCTTTGGTTCTGTTTTAAACCTTTGTTAAGTTGACATATTACTTTCATCTTTACCATGATATTTTGCTATCTTTGTATCGATGTCTCACTATCGTATATGTTTGTTATCCTACTTTGATTTTCAATATCATTGTTAGGTGTGATGTTTTATCATCTAAGTTTTGATGTATTGTCATCTTTGCCATGATATTTTACTATCTTTTTGCCGATGTTTTTCCATCACATATGTTCGTTATCCTACTTTGATTTTTGATATCATTGTTAGATGTGATGTTTTATCATCTTATCTAATATTTTGTTATCACGTTGTTTTTTTATCATCTTATCTGCGTTTGTGTTGCAATGTGATGTCGTGTCGTCCCTTTTTTGATGTTTTATCATTGTTGTTGATCTTGTATCATCGTTGTTGATGTTTTGTCATTTTATCTGATGTTTTTCCATATTGATTATCACTTTTTTCTTTTTAACTAAAAAACACAAACAAACTAAAATATGTGAGTCGAACTACGGCTGCTCTGATTCCTTAAAAGGGATACGTAGGCAGAGGCTTTTGTGGGGCCTAATCGAGCATATCTTTGTAAATATTCCTTTCTTTTCCCCACATTTTCTTTGCATGCATTTCCTTTTCAGCTTTAAGCCTTAGATATAGATTTTTCCCATACCCTTAGATTAGAAAAATAAGAGTGGATACAAAGAGTACTATGGGCGTGTGGGGTGATAATACCTTCCCCTCGTGTAACAGACTCCCTTACCCGATCTCTTGGTCGTTCTACCTTGATTTCTCCCTCTTCAGGTTTTCTCGATGTTTACCTTTCCCTTCGTATGGGATAAAATACGTACAGTGGCGACTTCATTAATTTTATATCCAATCAATGTCCGGCCGTTGTTTCAGTTGGAGACTTCACTGGGGACAAATTAACCTATTGCTGGTCTATCCTAGAGTTGATCCTAGCTCTTGTTTGTTTACTTCTTTGTGTGTTTATTTATTTCCAGTTATTTACAACTTTATATACATTGCTTGCATATGTTTATGCATGCATTTTATTGCTTTCCATATTGGTTATCTGATGTGCTGGATCTGTTTCCATGTTGGGTGGGTGTTACAAGAGGTAAAAGGCCCAATACCCAGGCCAAGTGAAAACCACAAGAACACTAGGAATAGAGTGGCACACGACAAATAGGGGATGTAGATTTCCCTAGACGGTTGTGTCGTCCATGCTCAGATGAGGTTTTAATTAGTTGCTATCATTATCACGTAGGTGTATGATGATAGTACTCTCAAGCGAACCCGTGATTTTGAGTTACCTTTGCTTACCCTGACCTAGTTTCGCCCGTGAGTGGGGAGGGATGATTGATTCTTACAGGTACCGATGGTGACTTTTGGGTTTTGTTGGTGACTTTGTTCATGTTGGTGACTACTTGATCTCCTGGTTTTGTTTCGGACTTCTCACCTTGTGATGGCCATTTGTTTCGGCAATTCAGCAATTATCTTTTATGATATGGAGATTTTGGTCTCATGTAGTTGCTGATCCACTTGGTACTTGGTTATTTTATGTTCCAAGGTGGCGCCAGACCTTTGATTTGGTGATATTCATCATTCAGTTTAGAGACAGTGCAACCATTTTCCATGTTTATGGAACCTTGATCCCGTGTTCTTGCACATACAACATGTTAACATCATTTTGGCACACATGTTCTTCCCATTTCCAAGGAATTGTGCTTGTGAGCTTGGCGTTGCATTTTCTTTGTCTCTTACTTACAAAAAAAAAGTTCTAAGCATGATGGTTCCTTGGAAATGATCAAACATGGCATTGCATCCACTCATGCACCTCGTGCATATTCATACATTCATAACAGTCTTAGAGTTGGAGACTCATATCCAGACTTGGTACTCTCTTCAAAGTTACATACTTGAACTCTTGTTGTTACATGTTCAGAGATCAGTTATGGAACGAATTAGTGGGGTTTTGGTCGAGATGAAGATTCAGATATGGTTGTTTGTGGTATACATGCAAGCCTTGGCTCTTCATCGGGAACTCTTCAAAAGGAAGATAATTAGTTGAATACCCAGTTGAGTCAGGTCATGGAAGTCTTGATGATAGTCTTAACAATCCTACACCGGTTGTTGCAACATGAGTTATTTTCTTCTATTCATCTTTTGGGATTTCTTTCAAACCATGGAGCGCCTTGTGGATTTCATTCACTATCTTGAGTGCTTGGAACGTCTTATCAGCAGATGGTTCCCATTTACCAGTTGAATTCAAAGGATATGTTTTATCATCAAGAATGGAAGAAGCCTGGAGAATGGTTTTGTTCCCATCTTAGTGCTTTTATTCTCATTTGTTTCCGCACTTATTTGAGCTTCAGTGGGTTAGGATCCTTACTTCACTACCATCTACAAATCCCTTCCCAAATTTTGTTATCAATGTCATATATGGTTACCACACAGGGGTACCTGATTGTTCAGTCAAGGGCACTCTCCACAGCTTTGTGTTCCCTGATCTTCTCATCCGCAGTCAGTACTTGTTCCCCAAGTGAATCCATAGGGCAAAGCTTTTAAGCAAAGATAGAAGAGGCCTGAGAAGTATGTTGATACCATCTCAATGCCTTACATCCTGGAACTTCCTTGTCTGTTGGGAATTCATTTGATTAAGCTTCATGCTTTGGACTATTCAGTTGATCAATCTCTCTCCTGATGCAAATGCTAGGTGTGTTTCCCATTTTGGGGCATTTGGTCTTGATGTTGAAGATTGCAAGATGGTTTAAGTAAAGTCCAGCATTTGTGTGGCATCCTTTCCAAAGTCCAAATTTCTATTTGGTTGACTGCATCTCTCCCGTGTGGTAGAAGATACTTGGTGATTCAGTGTATGCAATTCGTCTTGGTACAACATTCACGTTCTCTTTTAAGAGAATCTTCTGTGAGTATATTATGGGGCACTCGGCTATTCAGTTGAAGACGGCTTATCATCCAAAGATAAAGTCTGAGCTTGGATCAATTCGAGACTATTGTGTCCATATCAAATGGGTAATCTCTTATCCAAGTGAGTCTCAAGGTTGCCGAAGATCGTTTTAAGTAATCAGTCCATACGGAGACTAGTCTCCTCAACATGGCAATTTCAAATTACATTTTTATTCTCATTTGTAATCTTTCTTGTTTTGGTTCAGTACTTTCTTGTATGCAAACTTGCTTATTTTTTAATATTAAATCATAATGCATTGAATATGTTTGTCTTAAATTAATCCATTTGTTATCTCTCTTATTTGTTTTATTATGTT